GGACCCTCATTAAGAGTGCGAGTTTCCTTCTGAATAAGAAACATCTTTAGCTAAATCTGCTCTTTCTAGCATTTTAATATCATAAAATTTGGAAGTATTACTTTCCAAGTAGCTTTTCAAAGTAAGTGATATGATTAATGAACATCAAAATTCTCAAAACAGACTCCTGAGAGACACCACAAGTTATATTTGCCAAATCTAAAAGAGCTTATTCATCAATATTTCATCTTTTTTTTTTTAACTCCTAAACTGCCTATTTATTAAGCATTTGTACCAATTTTATGCTAATTAACTCTTATCAAAGGTTTTATGGAAGTCAAGATGCTCATTCTTGACTGGGGTACCATATTCAAAAAGTAGAATATTTTTCAGAAATGCAAGAATACTCTTTTCTAAAATCAGAGTTATTAATGAATTGTCAACTTTAAAAATTATTTCTTAAAAGAATTCTGACAAAAGTCTGTAACATTCACCTTACTAACGATAAAGTCAAATTACAAGAATATGCATATAATTTTTTAGATTACCATTTTTTTTTAAATTGGGGATCACATTGTCAGTTTTTTAATTACAAGGGGGTTTCCTGCTATCTTGGGGGGAAGAGATAAAGCCCCACTGACACTTTGTTAAGGTTTTTTTATGGTTTTAGAATAAATTTTATTAGGTCCAGGAACTTCCTTATGTTTATTACTTTTTCTACCATAGCTGCTTCAACAGAAATCTATGTAGAAGTGGAAAAAAAAAGCCTACTTACCTTTAAAGAAACTACCCAATTTACATATCTTTTAATCTCCTTCATTACTAAAAATGCATGTAGAATTTCCTCATAGCATTTTACTCACATTTCTTTATGTTATAATGAAGTTCCCTGTAAAATATCTCAAAGGACCATTATTATCAATTACTCTATTTTTATGAATTAATATTAAATATTTTATGTGTAAAAGTGATTCTTGTTGGTGTTAGCCAGGTGTCCCAGGTTCAATCCTAAATCCAGGAATCACTTCACTTATTGGTTTTATACAATATATCTAATACAATTTACACAAAATATCTAATATTAATTATTATGATATAATAATGTTATTTTATTTGAAGTCAACCTACAGATAAAAAAATCCTTCAAGACAAAGTTCTTTTTTTTTTTTTTTTTTGTTAAAAAAATTTCAAAATCCCTCATTCCCTTAAAAAAAAAAGCTTTTTTTTTTTTTTTTTTTAAAAG